ACAAGAAAAAATAGACATTCTGTGTCTCACAGCATGGAGCACGAGGTGGCTAATGCGGAACCTGCAGTATTCCACAACATGTAGTCGCAGAAGGAGGCTTATATGGGCCACCTTGCAGAGTCGAGGTTTTGCTTCTGTGGCTTCTACTAATTTGCACGCTGAAGAAATCAAATTTGATCTACTGTCCTTTTATATTCTGTCTCTCTAGAGACCCATGTTTTTAATTTTTATTATCTTAGATGCTATGAGTGAGGACGTAAAACCCCCGAACAAAAAGTTATTTGACTTTCAATTTTGTTATTTTTATTATCATTCATTCAAAATGGCAAAACAATAGTCTGCATGTTACTACACAACAGCTGTCAATTTTCAAAGCTACTTCACATGATGTTTCCAATACGTCCGTTGGACATGCATGGGTACATAATCCGACGATCGATACACAGCCATCACTGAATAGAGAACGTACGACATACCAGGCTCCTAATGACATGTTTCCAGGACATGCGACACCACGTCAATTAAGTGTCCCGTAACACTGGCAGATTGATTGGCAATTAACAAGGTTGAACGATAGTTCTGGTCGAGGCTTAATAGACTTTCCTCTATATGCAAAATCACTGTGTTCTACCTGGGTAACGGAAACCATTTGAACACATACCGGCAATTTCAGGAAATCGCTTCGGATTGCGTTATTTTATTGGTTTCATTGCGAAATAATTATACACTGAAAACACATACACATGTTTAAGCAAGTAAATCGTTGGTTTGAAGATCAGCACGCACGTGTTCTAACAACAAATAACCATTTGTATCGAAATTCAAAACTTGAGATACAATGTAGTAGGGTTCTTTAGCGTCCACAAGCAATGAACTAGTATCATCACCTGTCTTGCAAAGATGCATTCAAAAGGACTCACTAACTGCATTTTGAAGGATAAATATGTATATATATTGATAAATGTTTGGGCATTAAATACAGGAAAACATTTTAACAAATATTGTAATACGCCAGGATATCTTGGTACGGCTGCAGACCCTTACAATAAATCATTAACGCTATATGGCGTCACTCTTGATCTCATGAATTTGATTTTATTGTTCCATGTCGTTATAATAACATAACCACCCGTCGCTTTTTTATTAGTTTGGCTATAATTAACTCAAAAATATTAAAACTACATCCTAGGTAACTAAAAAGTAAACTAACATATGGTCGTGATCAGACGAAAACATTTGCTATCAAGTTTTACTGGAAAATCCCAGTTCGCTATTAATGGTTCTGTAGAAGACAATAAAAGGTAGTTGGCAGAAAGGGCAATTATTGTGGGATTCACATGGCAGTTAGATTGTAAACGTGTATAAATAAATGTTTATGGATATATATTGTATACATACATCATCTTTAGTATCATTTGTTGGCTATGCTAGATCAATTACTAGATGAAAATAGCAAACAGATAATAGTATAGACGGCATGGCAATACATATATAAGCATAAGAAGCAATGTTATGAATCATTATACTTTTCGGTAACAAGACGACTCGTTTGTTTCTTTATATTAGCTAATTAGTTTTTGGCAATTTGCCAATGATATCTTTTGGTAAAAATTACATACCGCTGAACATTAGAACATATGTCGGCTTTGTATGTCAATGTTTACGACCTCCATGGTAACACTTAATTCTCTTTCCCTTCATATACATTGTGTATATTGCCACTCCTAAAACATATTTGTAGAATACCTAAATGTACTGTTGTTTTTACACTATTTCATTAAATTTCTTCTGATCAAAAAATTAATAATCGAAATGAATACATGTCTAATTAAAATTTTAAACGGCAGTAAGTTGAATCATGGCTACTAATGCATCTGGACAACAGTAGAATATATCATTATCAGGGTTGTTGCATAGGTTGTAAGGGGACTAATGTTGTTTAAACAGTTCTGATCAATCTTCTCCGTTTAATAGGACACACTATGTATATACTATTCACTATTATAAATGATAAATACAAAAACGACAGATTATGCCACTATTATTATTATAGAAAACAATTTAAAAGCAAACCTTTCTTTTCAACCAATGAGTTCGAAAAAATCACCACGATACGAAAAGAAAAATGAGAATAGAAGACACACCAAAACCGCAAGACAACAAGACATAACGACAAAAAGCATAATTCGGTTGAGGAATTGGAAGGAAACCATACGAAGATATTTAAAAAAGAAGTTTAATGACATTATCAATATGCAGATCTCCTTAAAAACAGACGATTCCACTAGATTTTTATTTCTGACATCGGTTCTGTCTTTACATAAAATTCCACCTCACCAACCTGTTACCACTATATCGACTTATTGGATTGGTAGCACATACAATAACATATGAATTGTGGAGCATTGTTTATTGGCACGTCAAGTTTTGTAATTGACTTTCGCAGTATATTCCTGAAATATCTGACGAGATTCATAGGAGAAAGACAAAATTCATTAAATGGTCAAACCCTTTCCTTAACGAACGGAACATATAGATTAACTTGCTCATAAACTCCATCATAAACGACCTGCTAGTGATATACATTTGTTTGGCGTTTCTTCCTATTACGTGCAATGATGACTTTTATATTGTAATTGGACATATAGATATCCCTGTAATATTATTTTATCATAAAAGTAAACATTCATAAATGGTGCATGCAGAACATAGCGACAATTAATGGGTTTTATCAAAGATAATGTGTTCAGGGTCATGGATCTAAGACGCTATGCATAAAGTAATATATAAGTTGTTAATGACAATGCTTTGTGCGATGTATACATAATGAGGACCATGACATATATTGATATTTAACTCATATTTTCATGATACATAACAGGCAGGTTCAAAATCATATCGGTTGAAAGGTCAGTCATACAATGTTTGATTTTACTTTCAATTTGCGTTAATATTATATAGAAAAGTCCGTTTTACATAGCATGTATGAAAAGAGTTTCACAAATATTGTATAATGGAGCAAATTTTGTCGTTTAGAACCTGCATTTAGCACATCATCCCGTAATAAGAGCAGTATCAGCAATAGAGCGTCACCTGCTGATGATCTCATCGTCATCCCATCAGCATCCCTGTATAGACCGCCATTAAAGTGTCACTTACAAACCGACTTATGGTATTGCATGAAAACCCTAGTAATTCCCAACAGTTTACATAAGAATATGATCTATGACGATAATGTACATAAGATGACACGTGACAGGGGGTCTCTATTGTCTAGATGTTTAATTCAATAACAGAGATTTTTCCAAGTATCCATTATTTTAATTGCACGTTAGATCAAACAATCAAAAGTATTTGCATTTATTTTTGTATTTATATTTCATACAGAACGGTTGGAATCCGACAGAATTATAGAATGAATCATTATTTTATTCATATTTGCAAACCATGTGTATTGTTTGCTACATAAACACAAACAATAAGGTTTGTCTAGACGGAGGGAACAACTTTTTAAATACTTTATTGTACAAAATGTAGTTGAAATTATTTTAAAAACAGTGAAGAGGTTGGTATTTCTATACAAACGGGGCGAGAACGCAATTTTCACATGCATATTTTGTCACTCAAAAGTATGATACTTAATATATTCACAGTTCATTACTTATGATATCGAGACTCATCAATGTCATTTTACCTGTTTGTTGTGTGGTCCCTTATAACGAAAGCTACATCAAATGGGATTTACTGATATCAAGAATCCAAGATCAATAATTTTATTTTGACAGTAAGTTCATTCTTTCTTAAGGACATAAGTACAATAATAAGTATTTACCTGCATGTTTTGATGTCCAGCGCGGCCACCAGAACGCACGTGCCAGCGTTGAGACAGTAATGTCTGTCAGAATAACTACACGGAATCACGTGACTGTTTTGAAACGGATTTCCAGAGCGTCTGTGACGAGAGTGTTCCGACATATCCGAAATATCGCCCAAAGTTGTATCGTTAGACTTTTCATAATCACTACGTAAACTTCCGTCCAGAGAAATATTGACTTTTGCTTGTTGCTGGACCTCTTCTACCACGGTTTGGTCTCCAGTACTTGGGTACCGTTTTGTGTCTTTGTCATCAAATTCCTGATGTGTATGTGATGGTGGTGGTGATGGTGGGTATTTATCGGGGGTATCCTTGCTCGTTGACCCCGCGTTTGTCGGATTGCCGTGGTCATTGTGGGTCCCATACAGTTTGTCGGACAGGGGCAAGGACTGCACGATAGCGACAAACACCAGCACTACGAAGAGCAACATTGACGTCGGTCTGTCGCCCATAGTAAGACTAAGTACATTTTGTCCACTCCTTGCACAAAGGAAAACAGAAAAAAAACTTGATAACAACAGCAATCCGTTACCATCAATCTGAAATACTGGTGCTATAAATCACATGATCAGACGACACTTAATTCCGCATTGATTTTATTATCATTCTATTTTTTTGCTGTCGATACCGAAACAAAAAATATCACAATGAAATTACAGATCTTTTAAGATGGTAACATAATGCCATCATGCCAAACTTCCATCAAGACACATGGTAATCCTGTAAGAATTATACTGGTATATCAGTGTGTATATACATATATAACCATCTATCTACTGGTGGTGTACGTATGTTTTGGACGAAACTATTCAATCTCGAATACTTCTTATTTTTGAAGGCCGACCAGATGGTTGACGTTAAAAGTTACAAGCAGCTGCTGGCGAGTGAAAGCGCGCACTCGAAAGTGGCATACTAACTAAACTACCATTGGTCTGAACAGACGGGCGGCCCACCTTTCCTCGCTGTGTGTAGATTAACGCTGCCTGCCTATCACAGCTACGGGAGTGCACACTCGTCTCCACCGGTGGTAATAGTATACATATGTACCACAGCGACATGATGCAGGGAACTTATGTACCCCGGCCGCATCCTGTCCCCAGACCGCCCCGTCACGAGTGGGTGGTGGTACTACACACAGCGGGTAAGCTCTGCCCTGCCAGTCCCGGGTCCCCGGCAATCACTCTTACCTACTCGTGTGTCCATGCCTCGAACACTCCCCTAGTCACAACATTGGCCAATCAATCGTCTTTATATGTACCTTTTACGTCTGATTGATGACTTAAAGTACTTGTCTCGTTTGATATTCAGTCCATATATTGACGGATGTATTTTTCCACTTCCGCCAAACAAACTTACAGTTGTGTAAAATAGGCACGCGCTACCACGCTCCTGATGTTATTGTTGAAACTGTCATTGGTCGTTGTCTTTTGTACTGGATACAATTATCCCTTCTCAGTGTAGAGTTCGTAGCGAATGGACTACATGTACTTATAATCATAAAACCGTAACGACTTGGGTATCCATATATCTAGGCGTATATACGGTCTGGTACAATGTACGTTGTTGTATGAAATGCGTTATACTACAATGTAATATTTTATACATGTAGTAATTATAATGGACAGTTGTTACAATAACAATTGGTCCATAAAAAACACACCTGAAGTGATAGTCATTGGACCATGGCAATAAACACCTGAAGTGATAGTCATTTAACCAAGACAATAGACACCTGAAATGAAAATCATTGGTCTGTGACATTCAACACCTTTAATGATAACCCTTGGTCCATGACAATAGGCACATGTAGTGGTGATCATTGGTTCATGACAATA